TAGATCCCTGATAATGGGTGTCAAAGTCAAGATAGGACATTGTTCACCAAAGTTTTAAGAGAGATTACAGATATAGAAAGGTTCATGATGTCATGATATTGGACGGAAAGCTTTAATGAGTAATCAGAAAGATCGGTAAATGTATTGAAATTTTAAATATAATTTTGGAACACTAAAAGCTCACATGTTCGATAATTACTTTCATCTAAGAAATCTCTTGATTTGTCTTGCTAATTTTTTTTTTTACTTTAATAAAAGAAATCCTTTCGTGATGGTTTTATACATGTATAACTATCTTCTACTCATCAAGGGTAACACTGTGAACTAGGTGTCGTTTGTTTGAATATGGATATATAATGCTCTTTTAAAATGTTTATAACATTTTATTTAGAGGAACATCGTTTCAACCTTTTGTTAATAAATAATTTAAATGTTGTTAACGCAAGGAAAGTTTTTTAAGAGGAATATGGAGAAAAAATGGGAGTTTGAATTCAATGTTACATCAATTATTTCTCTAACTTCCAAAGTTTAAAAATGCAGAGAAAAAAAGTTTCAACAATTTCTGCAATTATATTATAGTACTTGTGGTCAATAATGGGATGAAAACGAAACGAAATGAAACGGGAAGGGTCGGGGTTGGATCAAGGTCGAGATAGTCAACTTCGTCCCCTGCCCCGTTTTACCGTTCCATTTCATTTTTTAGAATTTTTTACTTTTATTTTTTAATGTTTTTAATTGTGAAAATCATTATTTTTTGCAAGTTCTAGAAAAAGGATTTTCTTTTCTTTTTATGTGATAAAAAAATTAGATTTTGAAATAAAGTTTAATGGGGATGGGAACCATGCTCCCCCATACTCGACTCACCCCAATCTTAGGGCAACGACCCCTACACCATCCCGTGTACTCGATTAAGTTGGGAATCCTGCTTCGTTTGGGAGGGCCTCCCATAAATACGAGTATAATGAGTTTCTTTGTCATTCCTAAGTCGATATTTAATGTTAGATATCGTGACAAAAAATTTATGTGATTTAGAAGTTTGTTGCATGAAGGAAGTTTGTTTAATATTGATTTAGAAGTCCAGGTTGATTAGGAATCAAATTTATGGTGTTTTGAAAGTTTGATTGAATTAAGGACTTTTGGAATGGATGAATTAGTGTTTTGAAGCACTTGGGACAGAGTCGGGGCGCCTGAGCGCGGGGTCGCGTCGCCTAGGCACAGGAGAAGAAAAATAAACAAAATGGCCAACGCCTTGGGCGCCCTGGCGCTGGGGGGAACGCGTGTGGGAAAAAGCATGTTCTGTTTTGGTTTCTGACACGATTTTGGACTCCACCTCATCCACAAGTTCGAGATTTGACTTCTATAAATACTCCACAAGGCATAGGCACTTCATAAGGTGAAAAGAAAATACTCAAGAGAAAATATAACAATTAGATTATTGTTGTATACATTAGAAGAAAGAGAGAATTGTTTAGATTAGATTGGAGGATCAAAATCTTGTAAGGCAATTGTTTATTTTTTGGTATAATAAATTCTCCTCTTCCACAATTTTCTTGATTGTTGTGTGCTCCATTAAATTTTATATTGTCTATATTTTTTGTCTTTAATTATTTGGCCGGTTTCTAATTTCATATTGTCCATATTTTTCGTCTTTAATTATTTGACCGATTCCTCAACAAGTGATATCAAAACGTTCTTGATATCAGGTTAGTTCATAACAAGTGGTATCATAGCCAATGGTTTTTTGACGGTTTCTCAGGAGGACGAAATTAATTATTAAAGTAAGATTGGAACAAGGTCAATTGTTCAAGGATGACAACTTTGAAATTTGAAATTCTGTTTTTGGATCGCAACAATAAATTTTTTTTGTAGCAAATCAAGATGTGAGTGGTTCTTGCTCAATTGGATCTTGATGATACTTTGTTGGGGATCGATAGAATGCCTGCAACAATGACCGTAAGGAGAAACAATAGAAAGATCGGAAAACCCTATCTCAGATACATCTTCATCTTTCTAATGAAATTCTCCAGGACGTGGTAAATGAGAAAAGTACCTCTGCATTGTGGTTGAAGTTGGAGCAGTTTTGTATGGCAAAGAGATTGACAAGTAAATTCCACTTAAAGCAGTGTTTGTATTCTCATCGCTTGACAGAATGTGGATCTTTGGAAGGTCTTCTATTGGTGTTGAAGAAAATTGTTGCTAATTTGGAAACGATGGAGGTTAAGTATGATGAAGAGGATTTATGACTGATATTGTTTGCTCGTTGTAGCCTTCATATATGACTTTTAGAGATACCATTCTCTATAGTCGGGATACTCTTACAATTGACGAGGTATATGATGCGCTTTATAAGGAGAAGATGAAGCATCTGGTCGTCGATTCTGAGGCTCATGGAGAGAGTCTTGTTGTTCGTGAGAGGAATATGGGTACTCATGGAAGGGACAAAGTCAAGGATAGCAACAACGGTAGCGGTATAGTTTGTTGGTATTGCAATAGCAAGGGGCACATGAAGAAGGATTGTTATGAGTGGCGGAAGAGGTTTGCTACTACAGATCATGATGAACAATCAAAAAATTTTCTGTAATGTTAATCTTGCAGAAGAGAACGATGATGGAGATTTGTTGGCGATTACTGAAGGTGACTCCAAACCCAATGAGGATTTGATTCTTGATTCAACTTGCACCTTTCATATGTGTTCAAACCGGAATTGGTTTTCTTCATATGAAACAGTTACAAGGGATTCCGTGATGAAGGGAAGCAATGAGCCTTGTGGAATAGCTGAGATTGGTAACGTCAAAATAAAGATGCTGAATAGGACGGTTAGAACACTTGGCGAGGTTCGACATGTTCTAGGTATAAACAGAAATCTGATCTCTTTGAATACTCTTGATTCAAAAGGGTACACCGGTAGAGATGGAGTTCTGAAAGTTAGCAAGGGTGCTCGGGTTGTGTTAAAGGGACGAAAAAAGTCCGGGTTATATGTGTTGGATTTGGCGATCACGGAGGAAGCACCTGTAGCGTATGGTTTAGTAAGTGGTAACTCGGGTATAGTTGATTGTGATCGAGTTGTTCGTGGTGATTTGGACAATAATAATGGGAAACCTTCTAGCAGCTCAGGTGAAGCTGGTTGTGATCTTATTGATCATGTTACTAATGGTGATTTGAGAAGGTTTGATAACTCAGGTGGAGTTAAGGTTGCTTGTGGTGGTTAAAGTAGGTTTATTGACTCGGCTGGAGCTGGAAGTGAATGAATGATTCACTCAAGGATGGTGCGTAAGGTAGTTCTATTGGTATGTAAGGCTTGAATGTAGTTCACAGTTGCTGAGTATATCTCGAATGGGTATGGGATATCCGATTGGGACACGGTAGAATAGTTGGAGAATGACTTGAAAAGTGAGATTTAATTCCTTGTTATGGAATTTGTGTCAAGGTGAAGTTGTTAGGTATTGTGACAAAAATTCCATGTGATTTAGAAGTTTGTTGCATAAAGGAAGATTATTTAATCTTTGGTTTAGAACTCCGAGTTGATAAGGAATCAAATTTCATTGTGTTTTGAGAGTTTGATTGAATTAAGTACTTTTGAAATGGATGAATTAGTGTTTAGAAGCGCTAGGGCGCTGGGTCGTGACACCAAGGCACCAAGAGAAGAAAAACAAACCGAATGGAGCACTGGCCTTGGAGCCCGGCGCTGGGGGGTAGTGTCGGAGCTACCGGTACGGGAAGAATCCTGTTCTGTTTTGGTTTTTGATGCGATTTTGAACTCTACCTCATCCACAACTTTGATATTTGGCCTCTATAAATACTCCACAAGGTATATGCTCTTCATAAGGTGAAAATGAAAGACTCAATAGAGAATATAACAATTAGATAATTGTTGTATACATTAGAAACAAGATAGAATTGTTTAGATTAGATTGAGATGATCAAAATCTTGTAAGACAATTGTTTGTTTCTTGGTATAATAAATTCACATCTTCCACAATTTTTTTAATTATTGTGTGATCCATTAAATTTCATATTGTTCATATTTTTCGTCTTTAATTATTTGGCCGATTTCTTAACAAGTGATATCAAAACGTTCTTTATATCGGGTTGGTTCATAATATTTAATAACTAAATGAGTTTGATCAAAAGGTCGAGTTGGGTATAATCTCGAACAAATGATCAGGTCGTTAGTTTGTTCAACTTGCCTAAATGTCAAATTACTTAAGCCATTCAACTCTACAAAATGATCTAATTTAGCTTATGTTTGACAATCATTATTTTCAAACTCTTTTTTTACATACTTATTTTCAACCACAAATTCATACAATAAAATATTTTACATGTAAACCTAAAATTTTTCTTCTTTTTAACACAAATATTCATAAAAAATACTATTAAAAATTTTATTTCTCACAATTAATGGTGGTCAAACAAGGACTTTGTAAACTCCCGAGTTGAAAATGTTTTTACGAAGGCAAAATAAAGATGATAACTTTTAATATGGTTTAATTAACTTTTACACCTATAAATTCACGTTTTAAATGAAAAAGATAAAAAATTTATTTTGAAAAAACTTTCTAATAAATATGTAATTCCAATTCAAAAATAAGATGAAAAATAAACATTATGGTCCAATAGGGTGAGAGAACAGATACACCAATATGTAGTGCGTGGCACTAGATCTCCATTGCTTGCTGGGAATTGGACGAATTCTGTACTTTTCGTCTTACTTTAGCCAATGATATTGACCCCACGTCACATCATCCCACCAAAATATTCCCATGGTAGAAATCACAAACACGAAATGTGAAAAGAAAATCAAAAGAATATGCTTTGCTCTGCCCTGTAAATATCGTATAGTGTTTGTAGCTATGATAATCAATGTTATACTTTTCAATTATCATCTCTATTTCTTTTCTTGTTATTTCTTGAAACTTTCGCAACTTTTATATTTTTCTGAAGCCATTTTTCAATTTCCTCTGTTCTGACAGCCTATCAAGACTGATCAAACAAGAAACATGGACTTTTTTCAAGAACTGGTTTTAACAGCTTTCATGGCATTTGTTTTCTCTTTAGTAATTATGAAATTTGTTTCACTTGCTTTTTCTAACTCCTCCGATGATGGAAAAACTGCTATATTTAGTGTCGAGGAAGTGAAGGTGGGGAATCGTTTGAAAGTGGGGAAGACAAAAAGTAAAAAGAGAGTCAAGTTTGCTGATGATGTTGTGGTTAGAAAGATTGATCAATATCAGAGTGAAAAAGGGTTTGAAAATCTTGGATTGTGTTTGGATGAGTCTGTGGGGGGAGTTCTTGTTGAAGAAAAGAGTAAGGATGAAAATATTGCGAAAAGGGCGGATCAATATGAAGGCGAGGAATTGAATAGAGATTCTGAAATAAAAATTTCTGGGATGGTGCAAGATACTGTTGATGAAGATAAAGGGTCTAAAAATATTGGAATGTTGATTGAGAAAACTGATGAAGGTCATGAAATAGGTGAGATTTGTGGTGAAAAGGAGGATACTGTAGTGAGTGGTGGTCTGGAGGGTGTAATTTTCAGGGAGAAGAAAAATGGAGTAGAACTGGAGAGTCACGAGGTCAAGACTGATCAGAAAGAAGGGAATGGCAATGGGGGTGCAGGAGGAAATGAGAAATTGATTAAAGGGGATGTGGAGGAGGAGAGTTTTGATGTTGAAGATGATGACTGGGAGGGGATAGAGAGGAGTGATTTGGATAAAGTTTTTGCAGAGGCTGTTAACTACGTGGAGTATGGAGGGAAGGGGAAGGAGAAGGAGAAAAACAATGATCGGCTGGCGAAATTGGTAAGCGATGTGCAGATGCAGTTGTATGGGCTTCATAAGGTTGCAGTAGAAGGGCCATGTCATGGGCCTCAACCCATGGCACTCAAGGTGTCTTCGCGTGCCAAATGGTATTTGTTCTTACTATCAATTTATAGATATCTTGATTGATATTTCCTATAAATGCATGTTGTTCTTGGGCATTTTATTTTTTCTTATCTGGATAAATGCTTAGGCTGTAAGTAAGTTATGATTGACCGGTTGACGTAAGAATGTAGGACAAACAAGTAAACAATCCGAATATCAGTCCAGATGTAGACCAATTAATAGAAATGTAGGACAAATCCTCAAAAATTTGATGCAAAACCGTAATAATTTGTTAAAGCATTACTATTGGTCAACTGCAAGTGTATACTTGTATGCACTATTATGAAGGAGTACATTACTATTGGTAAACTGTAAGTGATGCACTATTATGAAGGGTACTCCCTCGACTGCTGAATTGTCAGAACTTTATTTGTTGTTCCATAGCCATTAAGTATAATCATTCACCCTCAAGCTCCATGCTACAATACTCCAAGTCACAAATAAATTAATCTAAAATGGTATTAGATTTGCCATGTCATAACTACTTGTTTTGATCAATACCTCTTCAGTTTAGTTAACACATTTTGGGGGATTGGAAAAGGTGCATTATGGCTTGGAATTTCCACGATGGAACTGAGATTTGATTTGGGAACATAATAGTACAAAATTAAGAACCTTGTCAAAATTCTAATGGACAATAGTGCAGTGAAAACCTTAGGACCGACCCTTGAAACGCTTTCAGGGTGTAGTTTGATTGCTAGTTATATAACAGGGTTGAAAGCTGCTATTTTTGAGTGATGGGGGCGCTAATTCCATTGTGCAAGGAATGCGTGGCAAAGGCTAGGAAGCATGAACCAGGAGGCAGCTATGGAGCAATATATCAAAATTTTGTCAGATAGTGTACCCGAATGGATGCAAAATTACAGTGCTGTAAGAATTTGCTTGGAAAAATAATTAACTCTTTTTAAATAAATATGTGCTTTATAGTATTGGGGTGAAACTTTATATAGGATGATGATATGCAAGGTTCTGGAACACCTAGTAATTCCGATTCCCAGTTAAGATCTCTTCCGGAAGATGAAAGGTTAGTCATGGATTTCAATTTTTCGATTGCTTATGGAAGAATTTCAGTGTTCAATTTTGAATTTCCATTTGGACATTCATGACTCATTGCTAGTTGTTTCATTCATCTGCAGGAAAGAAGAACTGAACATTGTCACTGATGTAGGTGACTCTGGCATGGGTGCAAACTCCATAGAGAAGGTGATTATTGAATCATTCCGTACTTCACATTAAACTGGATTAACCAAACACTTTCGAACATTGCTATAGTTGTATGGTTTGGTTGATGAAGCCTATTTTTGCCTATTGTCCGGCTACATGGACAATAAATTCAGTAGCTTGTAGTTTCAAAAGTTTTCTTTCAAAATGACTTGTGCTAAATAACTGAAACTGAAGTTTAGAAAATTATCCTGTTTAAAAAATCTTATAGATAAGAGTGTAGCTCTGAATTTATTTTTCAACTCTGGCCATTTAGGAATTGTTATCATTATACTTTGAAAGACGTGCTTCTTTCATGATCTGTCTATGGAATTATGGGAGAGAGCTTTAAGTTATCAAGAAGAAACAATTATGTCATATATTTTACTTGCCTGCACTGAAGCTAGTCTTGCTGCATAAATGTTTTTGTCTTTTGAGTTTCATGTGAAACTGTAATTGGCCAAGTTTATTTGGATTTTCTCTCTATCAAAGTGAGTTGAAAAGCTCAGTTCATGTACGTACTGCAGACGGCCACTTTATTCCTCTCAAAAATTGTTGCATCTTGTGATTTCGTGGAGGTCTTTGTTGTGTCATGGTGAGAAATTGAAAGAAGAAATAAGTTAAACAACTCCCATTAGTCCGTGTTTCAAATATTTTGGACACAATGAATTTGTTTGTGAAATTTACACTATACGTCTTGTTTATAAATTGTGTTGGCAAAACAAATTACTTAAATAGCTTCCTTCTCTTTTCAGGAAAAGAATGGAAAGGATCAAGTAACTGCATGATATCAGAAGCTTGCTTCTGTGCTCAAGATTGGATTGCTATTAATATTTCTAATTTGATATTTCTGTGGGCGTTTATGCATATGATATGCAAAATGTAAATGTACATATCAACTTTCTTATATCTATATATGGCTGATGTGATGATTCAAGTTTCAAGTCAAATTCTATATATTTTGTGTAAAAAATGGCATCTTTTTTGTGGGCAGAAGAAATACTTTTGCTTTTATTTGGAGAATAATCATATCCTTATTTTAATAGCATTACATTCTAACATCACTAGTGATGTTTGGAGTTTTTGCCTGTAAAGGATCTTCCTTCTGCGTTACCTAAGCCCTTTCCCACATCATTATCCTCTATTTCCACCATCACTACCTCCGCTAGAGCCAGAGCCAGAGCCACTTCCCCCACCATTAGGTCCCGAACCAATACCACTACCACCACCACTACCATTACCACCTCCAGAACCATATCCACTATCACCATTGCCTCCACCACCGCCACCCCCAAAACCACCACCACTTCCAGAACCGTATCCATTGCCTCCACCACTGCCACCCCCAAAACCACCACCACTCCCAGAACCGTATCCATTGCCTCCACCGCCACTGCCACCCCCAAAACCACCACCACTACCACCTCCAGAACCATATCCACTACCACCATTACCTCCTCCACCACCAAAACCAGCACCACTACCACCCCCAGAGCCATATCCATTGCCACCATTACCTCCTCCAGAACCACCACCAAATCCTCCCCCTTCTCCACCAGAACCTGATCCATATCCTCCGCCACCACCCTTGCCTTTCCCAAAACCACCAGGTAACCCCACATCAGCACCTTTTTCATCATTCTTCCTTTTGCGCATATTTTCCATATTGTAGTTTTTAAAAAGCATAAGCCCTCTATCTCCAATAGCGTCAACAGCTACATAACCATAAAGCCCCATACACAGTACTGCAACCAACAAAATCAGACTCCACGAGACGACATTATACCTTCCCATCATTTCTTATAACAAAAATCAAAGAACATCAATAAAGGAATATAAATAAGAAATTCTTGAACAAGAGTTGAAAATCTGAAGGTTTGTGCTCACCACCTCATGGACTACGAAATTTATGATTCATGCAAAGAAATCAGCATACGATAGCCAAGAAATGATGCTGGTGCAGGAGTATCTGGTGGAAGTAATCCATTATATAGGGATGTACCCTCTAGATTTAGGGCTGTTGCATGCCGGGGGAGAAGGGTGAAGTGTGCTTGATGAATTAGGTGGTGAAGATATTTGGCATGACTACTTGGGGTGCAAAGTTCGTTTCGAAAAGAAGCAATTGAGCAATGAAATTGTATGAAACACTGTCTTGATAAAATGTAGGACCAAGCAATCAAGGCATGTCGAATAAGACTTTTAAGTCAGAATTGAGAGCTTGAGTCCTAAGTGAGAGCTCTTCAAATACCATAGGTCGAATAAAACCCACAGTGACAGCTCTACAAGTACTAGAGATTGAATATATGACCCAGAGTTAGAGCTTTATGGATCCCAACTGAGAACTCTACAAGTCTTAAGTGAGAGCTCAATGTGTTATTTAATTTTCGTATTCATTTTTAACCACACATTTATCAAATAAAATATTTTGCACTGAAACCCTTTTTTTTTTTTTTTTTTCCCAATTACAAATTCTCCAAAAAAATCACTATTCTAAACTCTATTTTCTCAAAATAATGGCCATCAAACAAGAGCTAAATTGGGCTTTGGCAATCTTGTCCAGTGGTGAACCTTTTCTTTTCCACAATTGCGCTCTTAAGTTCTACTGTTACTATATGGGCTTGCTATAAATGTACAAGTCTTAGAACAGATGGCCCAGACTGGTCCAGAACTACGGTTGCGATATTAAGAAGCATATCTAATGGGGAAGCCGGCCGAGAAATATGGGGCAACATTGATCAACCAACTCAAAAAATATGTATTTTACACAACCAACTAAAAAGAAATGTTTTCTTTCATTGTGTGACTGCACTTAACACCCCGAAAAAAAAAAAAAAAGGAAAAATGAAGAGATTTTCAATTTCAAGATTTTTGAAAATTATTTAAGATGTGAACAACTAATTAAATTTCAAAATCTGAAGAAATTTAGTCAAAATATTGCCTAAATTTGGTGATTATATAACATTCTTGCTTCAATAAACCAAAATGACCCATCTTGAGTGGGGTTTTCAAAAGTAGAGCTGGCTGATAAAGAGGGATTGAGACATCAAGTTTGAATGTTCATTATAATTGAAGAAACTTTTAGTTTTATGTTCATTTTTGAAACTATATGTTAATTCTGGATATTTTGAGATGCTTATATTGATTTTGGAGAAACATTTTTTTGTCAATTCATATATTTGCATTGTTGCTCCATACATTACTTTTTAGTTTATATTCTAAATGTCTAACGATATCATATAAGTATTTTATCAACAATTCGTCATTCTTTACATATTTGATTGTGGGGAACATATTACGACATACTATTATATATTTCATAGTAACAACACTTTAGTACTTGTATACTTTGTAACAAGGAATTGAAGCCTATTTTACATCGAATCTAATCTTGATTCCACATTGATGCAATTCTTGTGTGCACACATACATTTTATATGTAAAATAACGAAACAATACAATAATTAAGAGAGATGAATTTGAAAAAGAAGTTACCAAACCACTAAATGACGGGCTACCTTAAAGTTATTAAGTTCTGTTTGGTAGATATTAAAATCAGATTTTTAGCGGATTTTGATAAAAGTTGATGAAATGATTGGTTGAAAAGTTGTGAATTTTATAAAATGTGTGATTAAAATTAGATGTTAACTTTAATTTTAATTTTAATTTTAACTTTTATCAAACATGGGATAAATGATATTTGTCCAATCAAACCTA